TGTTGGGTGAAGTGCTCTATAGATGTCTATAAGGCCAAGTTGGTGGATTGTATTGTTTAGCTCTTCTGCGTATTTGTTGAGTTTCTTTCCAGTTGTTCTATCTTTCAAAGAAAGTGGTGTATTAAAGTCTCCCACTATGACTGTGGAGTCATCTGTTTGACTTTTTAACTCTTTTAACATCTGATTTATGTATTTTGGGGCTCTTTCATAGGGTTCAGGAATTTTCGAGCCTCCATCTCAGAGCCTGTCTGGGGCTGAGCAAGTATAAGTCACTTCTAAGACACTGACCTAGACAATGAATAAGGAAGACTGATGAACAGTTGATGCTTTTGAACTATGGTGTTGATGAACAATACTGAAAGTACCATGGGCTGCCAGAAGAACTAATACATCTGTCCTAAAAGAAGTGCAGCTGGAATGCTCTTTAGAAGTGAGAATGGCCAGACTTCATCTCACCTACTTTGGTCATGTTGTCAGAAGGGACCATTCCGTGGAGAAGGATATCAAGCTTGGTAAAGTGGAGGGTCAGCAAAAAAGGGGAAAACCCTCAACAAGATGGATTGACACAGTGGCTGCAATGATGTGCTCAAGTATAGCAAGGATCATGAGGATGGCACAGGACCAGGTAGTGTTTCGTTCTTTTTCCATAGGGTTGTTATGAGTCAGAGCCAACTTGACAAGAAGACACGCCCAGTGGTGGGGACATCTGGCGCCTTCCTCCCTGGGCTTGGGACAGAGGCCTTGAGGAATGTGGAGGTGACATGGAATCAGGGTAAGAGTAAAGGCCCAGGCCAAATGCTGCTATCCCCTCCAGGAAGCCTTCCTTCATGCCTTCCTCCTCTGCCCCTCTTGCTGTCAGGCACACCCTGCACTGAGACTGGGTTGCCCTGGACCATGTCATCCTTTATGGAGCTGCCTTTCTGCTTGAGAAGCAGCAGTGAGTCTGGTTTTTGGCATCACACAGACATGGATATGGATCTGTACTCTGCCACCTACTGGCTGTGTCACCACAGACAAGTCACCTAGTCTCTCTGAGCCTCAGCCTCATCAGCTACTCAAGCTCCTATAATGGCTGTCTCTATCCCACCTTCTTAATGTTTCTCCCTAGAAATCGAAGAAGTGTTTATAACATAAATGGACCATTTGAGGGGTCAGAATCAATCTTCCTGTGCTTAAAAAAAAGTGTTCTTCTTAGCTCTAAAGGAGCTAAGAATGGGAGGAAAGAAAGAAAGAAGGAAGGAAGGGAGGGATGGAGAGAAGAAAAAAGGAAGAATTTGAAATTATATTTAAACATGTGAAAAGATACCTCATCATCATACAGCAAATGAATGAGTTACACAAATACAATGTGGGGCAAAAGAAACCCAACACACACAGGAAATATATGATATATAATTCTTTCCACAAGAAGTCCAAAGACAGACAAAACTAGACTATACTGTTTTTGAGTCTTCAAAATCAGAGGGAAAAACCAAAAGGAAATGTTTATCACAAGGCATGGTTACCTGTGAAGGGGAGAGTCATGATGAGAGGGGCAGGGGTTGTAGGGACTTTGGGGTGCTAGTGATGTTCTATTTTCCTACTTCGGTGATGGCTACTCAATTGTTTGCTTTATAATTGTTCATTAATATGTGTGTATAATATACACATTTGAGAAAAAAACAAAACTCACTGCCATATATACTGCCATATATATATAGTATATATAGTATATCATATTTTTACACAATAATGCACATGCTATCCTTTTTTCTGCAAACTGTGCAACACCCTTGTGTGTTATTTTACTGTGTGCACCATGTGCTTTATATTCACATGCATGTTATTTATATGAGCAGTTATAGGTGAAAAATATGATAGACAATAAAGCTTCATGCACTTTTTTGTAGGTGTATTTCCCAATGAAAAAATATGTGGGGTGAGGGTACACTATCTCACTCCCAACTAAACAAAGGCAAATTGCCACAACAATGAGATGCAACAACCTAGCAACAAAAACGAAAACAGTTGATAACACATTGTGTTGGAAGGCACTTCCATATGCTGTTGGAAGGTACATAAGGTGGTACAGTCATTTTGGAGAGCAATTTGGCAATATCTATCTAAATTTAAAATGTACATCCCCTATAACTCAGTTTCCTAAAATGTATTCTGTAGATAAAGCACTTTCAACTTTCTCCATAATTGCTTTCTAAGTGGCTGTACCAATGTCAACTCCCACCACAGTGTAAGGACCACATCTGGTGCTACATCTTGGCAGCCCTAACTTAGTTAAGCATCTTTTCAATTTGGGTTTTCATCATTGGGCTTCCTCTTCTTTGAGTTACTTGTTCATATTTTTTACCCATTTCTAATAATTTGTCTTTCTTATTCTTGATTGGAGTTCTCAATATTCTCCATGTGCTCCAAGTCAGCCATATACATTGAGAATCTCTTCTCTTAGTTCATAGTTTGACTTTTATTTGTTCTCTGTTGTATTATGATAGCCTACATTTTCCATCTTTCCTCTCATAATTTGTGCTTTTTTGTATATTGCTAAAGAAAATATTTACTACCTTGAGGTCACAAAAATCGTACAGAGCTTTAAGATTTTTATTTTCACTTTAAGATTGTTAGCCCAGGTGGAATTTATTTTTGAGTATAAGGTAGGGTTCTAAGCTCATTTCCCCCCACATCATAACCACATGAGCATAGATACATTCCCCATGGGTTCCCTCTTTCTTCCATTGGTCTGTTTATTTAACCCTGCACCCATATCATATTGCCTTAAGTACTGTAGCTTGTAGACTTGCAGTCTGGTACAATGAATCCCTCCACCTTGTTCTTGTTCAAAATTGTCTTGGCTCTCTTTTCCCTTTGCTCTTCCATATGTGTTTCAGGATCAGCTCTATGAAGTTCTATTGTAAAAGCCATATTGAGGTTTTGATGGGGATTTCATTGAGTTTAGACTGATACTGTTACACAACTCTTGAATCTCTGTTCTGACAGTATTTTTGTTAGTCATCTTATTGTTTGTTCTTTTCCCTTTTTTTCCCCTTTGCCTTTCAGTTTGGGTGATTTCTATTGACCTATCTTCAAGTTCATTGATTCTTTCTTCAGCTGTGTCAAGTCTACTGCTGAACCCACAGAAGTCATCTTTCATCTATATTACCATAACTTTTATATCTAGCATTTCCATTTGAAACTTACAGTTTTCAACTCTCTGATGAAATTCCCTATCTGTTCATGCATGTAGTACACCTTTTCCACGAGAGCCTTTAACATATGAATCATAGTTAATTTACATTCCCAGTCTGATATTTCCAACAGGGAACTTACATAGAATTTGTATATCAGTTTATGGAGAATTGACAGAAAAAAAAATTAAGTTGGAAAAATAAGATCCGTGCATGTAGCATGATTCTATTTGCTTGCACAAAGGGTGGGGATACACAAGTATATATGTTATATTCGTATAAGTCCAGCACATCTCCAGAAGGATGCTGGGTTTGGGGAACTGGAAATCTTGGGGTGGAGGGAGGAAGGAAGTTTACCTTTCAATGCGTACTTTTTTGTGCTGTTTGAATTTTTAAAACATGCATTTTTTTTTAACTTTAAATAAGAAAACTAGTCAATTTTTGTAAAACATGTTATTCCCAGCCACCACCCACCCCAGCCATTGGCCAAGGTCCTTCTGGCTGGCACACCCTCAACACGACCCCCAACTTACCAACACAAGTGAGGTAGAGCACTGCATAGGCCAGGGGCAAGGGCTCATGGCTGGAGTGGTAGGAAATCTGAACCTACAAAGAGATGATCTTAGGTTCATGCAAGCTGAAGCCAAGAACCCCCACCCCAAAAGACTGTGCACTAGAGTTAAGTTTACCAATCCAGCTCTCCCCTTAGCATTCTTCATGCCATTTACCTTTCCATGCCTTGGCTGGTCCACCTGTGGGATGGGAACTTGTGAAGGATTCTATGGGGACCTGGTTCCCAGCACTGCCAAAGACCTGCTGTGTGACTTTGGTAAGCCCCTGTTCTCCTTTGGGTCTCAGTTTCCCTATTTGCAAACAAGGAGTTTGGCCTGGGCTGATGTTCTTATTGGTGGGACTCAGACAGGCCTCAGCTTAAGCCCAGACTTCTGGTTTCTTGATCAAGGTCCTTCACTTCTCTGAGCTGCCTCCGTTTCCTCATCTGCAAAATGAGGACAATGCAGCTCCCTACTTTAGAGGACTATCGTGCTGCTTAGAAACAATACATGGAAAGGACTGAGCCTGTGGGATGTGCCCAAGAAATATCAGTCATTGTTATTGGTGGGAAGGCACTATCGTGCAAGGGTGAGGTTCAGAGCTCTGGATTCAGATGGCCTGGGTCAGATTCTGGGTCCACCACTTCTGAATACCCCAAGTAAAGTTACTCATCCTCTCTGGGCCTCAATTTCCTCAACTGTCAAGGGAGGATAATAATAATTGTTCCTGCCTGGCCAGAACTCCCTGATGTGATATGTGACATGTTTAGCAAGGTGCCTCCACATCGTGAGTACCCATAACTGTCAAAGGCTGAAGATGAAGGTGGAGGTTATGCAGGCAGTTGCATCAAAGCGTGCTTTGACCACAGTCCTCCCCTTGAGCGTTCCCTCCTGACGTGGTCCCTTCACTCTCTGGCTCTCACACCCTCATCTTAGTCAGGGGGTTCAGGATCTTACAGCTGCCACCTCAACCTTTAGTCCTGGGAGCCCCTAAATCTGCAAGTACTAATTCTCACATGTCAGGCCCCAGCGATGATGCTCACCTCAGATATAATTACCTGGATCCCAGCCAAAGAGGGTCAGTTGTTGGAGGACTGAGCCCCCCCTCAATCCCACTGGCTATTGGGGCCAAGAAACTTAGGGTAGAAAGGCATCCACACAGCCCTGTTAGGCAGGGCACCCAAAGGGTTGCCTCTCACAAGCTGTTTGGTCCTCTTGCCCTCCTCCCCTGGGGACTTAGTCCTGGCTCTCACCAATGTTGCCACTCACTAAATCATGTGACTTCAGGTAAACCATACCTATTTTTAGTCTCAGTTTTTTTGTCTATAAAATGGGTTCATTATGAGTCCCACCTGACATGGTTAAAAGAGCTATGGGGAGGATCAGTTCAGTGGTGGGCACAGAGGTGGAGGTAGTGAGGGAACCTGTTGCTAGGTGTCAGGCAGGTCTGCACTGAATTCTAGCTCTCCTGTTCATTAGCTGGGTGGCCCTTGGAAAGTTACTGTGAACCTTGGTTGCCACCACCTGTGAAGTAGGGATCAGAACCCCTGTGTCTCAGGCTATTGTCAGGACTAGAAAAGGTAAGGTTGTCCAATGCCTGGCACATGGTCCCAACTCACATCAAATCCATTGCTCTTGAGTCGATTCTGACTCATAGAGACCCTGTAAGACAGAGTAGAACTTCCCCGTAGGGTTTCCAAGGCTGTAAATCTTTAAGGAAGCAGACTACCTCATCTTTCTCCCGTGGAGTGGCTTGGGGGTTCAAGCCATCAACGTTTTGGTTAGCTGCCAAGCACTTAACCACTGCACCACCAGGGCTCCTTTGGCACACGTTCAGTGTTTAAAGGACTGGTTTCCTGAAATATCACTACTGACACACCAAGTCCTGGTCCCCATCAGCCCTTCATGGGGACATCATCTGTGCCAAGCTCAAAGGCCATTCCCATTTCTTCCACTCTTTAGGTGTCCCCCCTGTTCTGAGAATGGGGTCAAGTATTAGGGAACTGAGGCATCTCAGAAGGGGGACTCCCCAGGCAGCAGCCTCCTCTGTTCCTGCTTTCTCTTCTTCATTCAGAAAGGCAGAGACGACCCAATCACCCTTCAGCCTACACATGGGGATACTGAGGCCCAACACAGGAGAATTGGGACAACTCCTCACTTCACAAGGGGTCTTTGGAAGCAAACACTGGTGCACGTTCCATCCAACATCAGCACTGTTACTGTCCCCATTTTACAGATGGGGACACCAAGGCCCAGTCAAGCTATGTGACTTGCCCAATGATATACGGTTTATATCTGTAATTTGCAGAGCTAAAGTTCAAACCCCAGCAGTCTGGCTTCAGGGCCAGGTACTTACCTACTGTGCTATCCTGTGCTCCAAGTAAAGAGAGAGGTTAGGCCCTCACAGAGCTAGAACACTGCCTCCCCTCCTCCCTCTACCCCCAGATCAGGGGACTAGCTCACATGACTGTCATTGAGGTCATTGCTGGGGGAGTTCATGACCACGATGATCTCTGTCCCCGCATCAAAGTGCCACCGCCTGGTGTCGGCACGCTCCCGGTCCCTGTGCTTGGTGGGAGAGATGTAGATGTCCACACCTGGTGTCCCGTAGACCTCGAACATCTCCGTGCCCTCAGGTACCAACCTAGGAAGAACAGGGGGCCATGGGAAGTGCTGGAGGGGAAGGTCCTGTTAAGAAGCTTCATCTTTGGCTCAAGCCCTGCTTCTTCCAGGAAGCCTTCCTTGACCACCCCAGGCTCCACAGATTCTCATGGTAAGCCCTTGGGATCAAAGCCTGGACCCCACACAAAGTATTTACAGTCTCACATTCCAAGGGCTCTGTGTTCATGGACATTTCCCTTGTTAGTTTCCTTACCTCCCAACAGAGCAGTGAGCTTCATGGGGATCAGGACCCAGTTGCCAGCTTTGTAAGACCCCAGTGCAGAGCTGAACACAAGGGCTCATTGAATACTCATTAAGAGCCAGAAAGGGGACTCTCTTGCAGTTCTGAGACTGTAGTTTTAGGAAGAGCAGTTCTCATCACAATCTCTTGTATTCCTGCTTAACAGGTGGTAAGATTTCCTTAGCATCTTCCCCAGGGAAGGGAATGAATTTTTGTTGAATGCTCGCTGTGTGCCAGACACCTTACATTTATTAGCTCCTTTTTATCATTACAAGTCTACTAGGTTACTGGTATCATCCCAATTAAACAGGTGAGAAAACAGAGGTCAAGTAACAAGCTCAAAGTCACACAGCAGTCAGCAGCACAGCCAAGTTTGCACCCAGGTGTCTAGTACACTGAGCTGGTGCTTCACCACAGCATTGCTGTGTTGTCTGGGAAAACAGGTCAGATTCAGTCAATTCAGTCAAACAACCAAGCATTAATTGTCAGGTTAAAAAGTCCATGATGTCACCTGCCTCATGGGAATGTGCTTCCTCCATTTCTGCTAGTCTTGGAGTTCTGTTCAATGCCAGTTTGTCCATCCCCTGATTGTCTGTGGGGAGCCCACTGTGTATGCGGGCACTGCCAAGCTGGGGCACCTGCCATCCTCCCACTGTCCCAGAAACTTTGCTCTCTCATGGGGACTGAGCACTGCAGAGGACAGCCAGATGGGGCCCAGGGCCATGGGGCCAGAGGTCAATAGGTTCCCCTGAAAGGGGAGGACTGGGAGCTGGAGGGGCCTGAAGGCTTCCTGGAGGAAACCGCACACATAGACCCCTGGGAGATAACAGCAGCCAGTGGTTGGTAAGCTCTTCCTGTATCCCAGACTCAAGTTCCTCTATGTGTGCTATCTTGTGGAATCCTCTCATTAATCTTAGGTTGTTGTCTTCACCTACCACTGAGGTGGCTCCAACTCCTAGCAACTCCATGTATAACAGAAAGAAACATGGCCCAGTCCTGTGCTGTCTACTCGGTCGTTGGTATAATACATAGGGTTTTCACTGGCTAGTTTTCAGAAGTAGATTGCCAGGTCTTTCTTCCTAGTCTATCTTAATTTAGATGCTCCTCTGAAACCTGTCTACCAAGGGTCCCTGTTGATATGTGAAGTATCAATGGCACAGCTTCAGGTTCTACCAGTGTCCCCCATTTTACAGATGAGGGAACTAAGGTTAAAACATCTATCCAAGGTCACATAGCTAATAAGAGGCAGAGTTGGAGCCAAACCCAGGGTGTCTGCTTCCTGAGTCCACACTCTTACCCACCACCTCAAGAGTAATAACAACAGTACCCACAGCCCCCGAGGCCCCGGTCCACTGCACTCTTCCCACGTCAGTCCTGGCTAAACCTGTCCTCCATCAGCTCATCTAATCCTCACCGCAGTGTGGGAGAAGGAGATTGTTACTCCCACTCCACATAGGGAAACTGAGGCTCCAGGACGGGCAAGTGACTCACCCAAGTTTGCACGGCTGGTCATTCCATGGGGCCCCTTTCCAATACCTGCCTCCCTCAGAGGAGGGCAGACTTCGCCAAACACTCTCTTCACATCTCCCTCAGCATGATTCTGGTACTTCTCAAAAAAGCTGGTTAAAAGGGGACTAGTCCCAATCCCTAAACTGTGCTCCATTAGGCCGGTGCCACTCCAGTGCATGGCTGCCAGACGCCCTCACAGAGTGAAAGGGGCTGACACAGTTCTTTCTCTTCCCAAGGAGGGTGGACAGATTTAGCAAATAAAAATATAGCAGGTCCAGTTGGATTTGAATTTCAGATTAAAAAAAAAAAAGTACCTTTTTTAATGTAAGTATGTCCTGTGCACTAGTGGTTAAAGCATACAGCTGCTCACCAAAAGGTCAATGGTTCGAAACCACCCACCACTCCACAGGAGAAAGATGAGGCAGTCTGCTTCTGTAAAGATTTACAGCCTTGGAAACCCTGTGTGGCAGTTCTACTTGGCCCTAAAGAGCTGCTATGAGTCAGAATCAACTCGATGACAGTGGGTTTGGTTTGGTTTTATATACTAAGAATTTATTCACTGTTGATGTGAAATGGACATTTAACTACACAGCCTGAATTTTAGCTGGCAGCCCTGCTCCTGAAGCCTGAAATTTCTAGGTTGGTGGTGCCTCCGGCTTGTTCTGCCCTGTGTGTGAGATCAGGTCCCATCTGGGGACAGGGATGAGCCAGGTGAGGGGTCTTGGGGACACAGAAACAGAGAGCCAGAGCCAGAGACATGGAGAGATCCAGAGAGATGCGGAATCGGGGACAGGAAGTCAGAAAGACAGAGACCAGGAAAGACCTCAGGTTTGAAGGGCATCCTGTCATGTCCCCAGGGATATTTCAACTCCTCTTTCAGCCCTACTTCTTCAGGCCCTGGCCTTCAGTTCCTCAGTCAAGCTTATAAACGCTTTACAAATACCCCCCTCCAGACTCAAATTATTCCTCTGGTGACACTCAATCAGGAGCCAGGAGCCAGGGCTGAGTGCCCTTGACAGTCAGTCCTTCTGGACTGAAAACCTCACCCAGGTCCCAGCCCCTGAGTTTGGGGTGTTTTGGCCCAGCTCCCCAGACTTCCCAGGGCCAGGGCCTGCATGAGACCCTGGGTGAGGGAATCCTGATAAGGACAGAAGTGTCCCTGTCCAGGAGAGGCCCCAGGAGAGTGGTCCAAACAAGACTGCCACGTAAAGAAGATGAACCAGCTACTGCCTACCCCAGGAGAAGGGAGGGCCCACAAAGCGTAGGGCTCAGTTGGTGCTAGAACCAGAGTCAAGAGCCGGGCTCTGAACCAGGCTGGATCACACAATTGCCAGGTGATCTTGAGTAAATCATGCAGCCTCCCTGGGCCTCAGTATCCATATCTATAAAGTGGGGATAATGACACCCACTTGGCCAAGTTCAGAGGCTCGAATATGATCACAGATAGGACAGGCTTGGAAAACCACTGCCCAGAAAGGACAAGGGGTTATTAAATTAATTAGGGTGCAGGGATGGATGTGGGCTGAGAGTGGGCTGAATGGCTGGGGAAGGCTTCCAGAAGAAAGCAGGCAAAGGTTTCCAAGGACAGGGAGGAGGCAGGTTTGAGAGGAAGAAGTTTTCACCTTGGAGCCTTAGAAGGTCAAGTTTAGACTCAGACTGTAATGAGCTCGTTTTCATTTCACTCCGTATGTATTAAGGGGCCATTGATGGTTCTTGATCAGGAGGGCAACACAACGGCCCAGTGGAATTTCTCTCTGGTGAGATGATGAAGCCTGTGGACTCTAGGGCTGGCCTGCCTGGGTTCAAATACCAGCACCCCCACTCACTAGGTATGTGACTTTGGCAGAGTGACTTGGCCTTGCTCATTCTCAGTTTCCACATCTATAAAGGGGAGATGACAGGACAATGAAAGGAGAAGTGAAAGGCAGAAGCACCTGAGCCCACACCTTCATTTCACTACTGGGGAAACTGAGGTGAAGATGAAAAGGGAAGGCCCACGGTTAATGTTAGGAATAGTTGTTAGTTGTTAGGTGGTATAGAGGCAATTCTGACTCATAGTGATCCTATGTAAAACAGAACAAAATACTGTCCAGACCCGCGCTAGCCTCATAATCCTTGCTATACCTGAGCACATCATGGCAGCCATAGTGTCAATCCATCTCATCGAGGGTCTTCCCCTTTTTCACTGACCCTCCACTTTACAAGCATGACATCCTTCTCCACTGAATGGTTCCTTCTGACAACATGACCAAAGTAGGTGAGATGAAGTCTGGCCGTTCTCGCTTCCACGGAGCACCCTGGCAGCACTTCTTCCAGGACAGATTTGCTTGTTTTTCTGGCAGTCCATGGTATTTTCAGTATTCTTCACCAACACCTCAATTTGAAGGCATCAGTTCTTCTTCCATCTTCCATCTTCCTTATTCATTGTCCAGATTTTACATGTGCATGAGGCAATTAAAAATACCATGGCTTGGGTTAGGCGCACCTTAGTCTTCATATGAATAGCAGAGAAACACCATCTGATACATTACTGGACAACTTTATGAATAGCCCTCAAAAATATCATCCAATACAGTGCCAGAAGATGAGCCCTTCAGGTTGGAAGACACTCAAAATACAACTTGGAAAGAGCTGCCTCATCAGAGTAGAACTGACCTTAATCATATGGATAAACTAAAGCTTTTGGGACCTCCATTTGCTGACATGGCATGACTCAAACTGAGGAGAAACACCTGCAAACATCCATTAATAATTGGAACACGGAATGTATGAAGTATGAATCTAGGAAACTTGGAAGTGGTTAAAAATAAAATGGAACACACAAAGACTGATATCCTAGGCGTTAGCGAGCTGAAATGGACTGATTTTGGCCATTTTGACTCAGACAACCATATGATCTACTATGCTGGGAATGAAAAATTGAAAAGGAATGGCATGACATTCATCATCACAAAGAATGTTTCAAGATCTGTCCTGAAGTACAATGTTGTCAGTAATAGGATAATATCCATATGCCAACAAGGAAGGCCAGTTAATACTATTATTCAAATTTACACACCAACCACCAAAATAAAAGAGGAGAATATTGAAGATTTTTATCAACTTCTGCAGTGTGAAATTGACTGAACATGCAATCAAGATGTGCTGATCATCACTTGTGATTGGAATGCAAAAGTTGGAAACAAAGAAGTATCACCAGTAGTTGGAAAATTTGGCCTTGGTGATAGAAATAA